CGCAGAACGATCTGACCTGCGTGTGAGAGACAGCTCCATGCAGGTATGAGCCCATGAAGGTGCAACGTGGTCTGAAAGAAAAAAGGTTTCAGTATCATGGACAAAGATGTGGTCCACTTTTTCCGAAAAATTTTCTATATTGGCAAATTTTACTCAAATATTTAATAGATTGACAACATTTCATTTCTCGCTTGTGTTCCCACACAAAAGGTCCGCTGGAGCGTTGAATATCATGGCCATACCGACCCGGGCCGGGGAATAGGGCAACGAGACAACTGACAAGGAATCGTCAAGCACAATTAAGGAATGGGAGCTATTGCTATACGTCCTCGGAAATGTGGCTTACAGATAGGTTCAGGAAGTTGGGTGGAAACAGCTAAACCAAACTAGCGGGGCTCCGTGTGATTATGAGGAGACCTACGATGAACTTTCCTCCAACGGATAGAATACGTTTAGTTGAAGTTGATCGCAATGGGAAAATGCTTTCACGAGGAGGTTTACCGTTCACGTATTAAATCTTTTCGTTCAAACTCCTACATTCTTTCATTTCTTTTTCTGCCGAAATCCGACAGAATCGACTATCTGGATTCGATTGATTCCATATCATGTTATTGTTTTGAATTTGCTTTCATTATAAAAATTTCAGAGTATATTCCATGGTCGACTATTGGTCTTTCTGTTATTTCAGCTGGACTTATGACGACAGTGGTAATTGATATGATCTCGGATTATCAATTCATTTCTATTCAGGGATTCGTAGTTGCACAAAGGCAGTACTCACGACGAACTGCGACATTGTGATGCTTCTAGAAATCGGATATCCTCAATAAAGCCCTATCTTCTCTTGAAACAATGCTGCTTCTGTAGTTGAACTCAAAAGACCGACTAACAAAGCTTAGAAATATGTGTTTCCTATCAAGGGACTTTTTCTGGAAGTTTAGATGTTCCTGGCACTGCTATGGAAAAATCAGCGACGTTACAATCGACTACTTGTAGAACGAACGGTTGACATCGAGACTACCATGGAGTACACATTAAGTCTTCGGTTTCAACTTAATGAAAACATTCGATCGATGAAGGTATGCAAGACGAAATTGTAAACATCTGTGTCATCTGAGATGCGCCACGTACGCGGCTTCCAGCTCAAATAGCTTAGCCCTAGCGTAGCCCCCCAATACATCATCCGACAGGAGAAAAATCACCATAAACATAGGAATTTCTCTGTAAGACTAACTGAGTACAACCTGGGCGATCAGTCCTGTTTTGCACGCGAATCCGACTTCCGTCTAGACTTGTATGTAGACGGCGACTAAATATTCATGTGTTCCGGTCACTGACTTACAGGAGGAGCTCATGAACTGGTAATAGACCCATGATACATACCCAGGGAGTCTGACTTATCGATTAAAAATCCGCATAGGCCTGAGGGTCCTGCTGAGAGGGTCTAGAAGGCATAACTGTCTTGCAAACCAGAAGTAGACCGTACTTTATATTAATGCACTATTTGCCTCACGAGATCTCAAACTTGAATGATATGGACCAAACTAATGCATCTTTACTCTATTGCTCATGGCGCTAATTTACCCAAATTATTTAGCTATTACGGAATCTAGTGATACTCTGCCCTGTGATGCACACAATCTGCTTTGTATTCCTGAGTGGAGCACGAATCGACTGGATGCACCGTCATTCAGAGACCGTTGCTCACTATTACGATGCTGCCTTCAATTTAACGATTTCTATGTGAGCTTTCCGAAATTTCGATTTCTTTCAAGTCGCCATTGCCAGATCTGTGACATATCTGGGTTCATTTGGGAAAACCATTTCTGAAGAGCCAACAAAAACGTTAATTTAAAAATTATGGGATTATTCCCATGGCATTTCTTGGACTCACCTCCGACTCGGAATATACGGTAATCAAGGGTAAAATAAAAAGTAGAGGTGCGATCTGTCGTTGTCTACCGAAGGTTGCAAGAGATTGCATTCCAGATCGGGTATTGGGTTCTCTCAAACAGTAGTCTACTACGTTTAAAATTCTGACAATGTCGAAAAAAATGGGAGAGAAGATTATGATTTTCCGACTATTGATTGACTGCTTATGATTATTCAGATACGCGATTCTGATTCCTATGGTTGCATACCACAGTGATGACGCCTATAAAAACCTAGCAAGAACCATCCCAGGCATCGGTAAACCCTTTTGTTCTTTGTTGATTATTTTTTCTATACAATTTTCTCAAGTTCCGCCCATTTAGCAAGCCCTGCCTCTCAAACGTCACAAACAATGCAGCGTATATTTCAGGCCGCTTGTTTCGAAAATCGAAGGTGGCATCAGCACGTGAAACTATTGAGGAGGGCAACGTTTATTTCGATAACCTGAACAAACAATGGAACTAGTCAGAGCCCTGAGGAAAATGAAAAGGAATGGAGGAATGTCTATGTCCCCTTTCGAGATGATGGTCATATGTAGTTATATAAAGTTTGTTTTCTACGAGTGCACATCGTCTGCCAGAATATGTGGCTCAGTGGTAGAGACACAACTTATATGTTCACTTACGGGTTCCAGTTCATGAATTCCCCACCCATCTCTTTCATATTGGCCCGCAAGTGTGGGGTTTATTGTGTTTAGAAGGATAAAGAACCAACCATTGCCGGTTTTGTCATTCATAGCATCAGCTGAGAAACATTGGAGCCACGATTTTTATTAGAAAGCGGTGTCATGGCGCAATCTGAAACGATCACTGAAATCTTCATTTTCATAATGCCATTGGTAGTTCATCTTTGAAAAATACCGGTACCGCTGTCAGAATCATTTCGCTACACTCGCTACTATCGCGCAACTTTCCCGCAGTAATGCCCCTCCCACAAGAATTTTTTACGCTATCCAGCTAACTGGTTTGTGAGCAGTCATTTCTACTATTATAGTTCATTTACTGGTATCGAACCATTTTGCAGTCCTACTCTCGCTTTTTCTACTTTACAACTTAGGCCCCTGGATTTTGCATCTTTTAGAAGCTCTCAGATTCCCCAGGCTAGACATTATCACAAAAAACACTGTTTTTTGACCAAAAGTTAAGCGTTCGAAATCTCGGTCGTATATTTCTTTTTTTCTGTCCAGCAACCTGTAAAAGCACCCCACCATAACCAGTAATCACTTTGGCATGGAGAAAAACTTAGTTGCCCAGGGCAGTTCCATCCCATTTGCTTGATTGGTATGGACAATATTCTAAGTAGGATTGTTGAACTACAACATGACAGCAAGACAGGTGGGAATATTGATGACACAGGTTTTGGCCGAAACTTCCCCGGACATGTTTCTCGTTTTTTTATGCCAACTAAAACGGCTTAACGGATGGATAACCGACATTTTTGGTCGAGTAACCAGTCATCTGTCGAAACTCATACCACACCTTGTTTGTAAATTTTTTGTTACTTTTTATCATTTTGACTAGAAAAATCATGACATGGAATTTATTCCCTTCAAAGTTCTTCGTCCTTTGTATGAATTGTCGTTCCTTTGTGTGATACTATAGCAAAACATACAAATTTGAAAGCTGAGAAACAAAAATGAAGTGAGGCAGTTCTCAAAGAGCAGATGAGTCCCTACTTTTGATTGCCCTTGACCTTCCTAGAACAGCTTCATTAACCTCGCATCAACTGCAGTGGAAGCGGCTAAGTGCCGAAAACTTCGCGCCTCACTGAAGCAGCATGAACAATCAGTTCATCGCAAAGTTTCCTTGCGGAGTGAGCTTAAGTGTTCGAAAGGATGGGCATCGTCCTAAGCACGATCACGCTTCACTCACTAACATGATGACTGATAATTCCAACAAAACCCTAGTCAATTGATTTAGCGAGTTGATATATGTGACAAGTGCATGGCGTAGACTTGAAAATGGTTGACTACAAAACTCTCACGATTTTTTCATTTATTTCCGGGTTTCTGGTCCGAAGCTTTTGGAATTTTTCAAGAGAAAAACAATTATCTCATCCCTTCGAATTTCTTGTAATTGGAAAAATTTCTCCTCATCAGAGTGGTCAACTATGTAGCGGTTCAAAATCGGTTAATCAATCAATAAAACCCTAGACACTGCAGCCTAATCGCTAGCAAAGATAAGTGTAAATATATCAGTGAACATTCGATTACGCCCTTGATTTCAGAACGTTTGAAGCGTCTACACTTCGCTGATATGCAGAATTTCGCGATATTACAGACATTACAGGGACTAACATTCCTAAGGTGAATACCGTACCATTTACCATATCCTACAGTACCAACATATCCTGTTTTTCAAAGTCCAACCTATATTTAGCATGACGACAGCACAATTTCTCGGCAGTTCGCTATACAGTGCATTGGCCGGCTATGGTGAATCGGACATGTGCCGATATATTTCATGCCCATTTGGGCAGTTTTGTTGGAATGGGAACTGTATCAGTACTGGAGGAATCGCCGGAGCACGGTGAGTGGCACCTCGCTATCTACTAGTTGATTCTTACATATCTGTATATAGTTTGTTACTGTTTGCTCATTTATTGACACCAATTTTCAGTGGTCTTGGAGGAATTGGAGGCTTGAGTGCACTGACGTCTGCTGCAGCATTGTATGGCGGTGTGGGAGGTGTCAGAGGCAATTCTTTTAGTTTATTTTGTATCTATGCAACTTTACACCTTTGCATTCCCACTCTCGTTACAGGCTATTCCCATTGAACGGTCTCGATCGCCCCTCTATAGAAGACATAGTGACACTCTCCACGATCGAGCCCATTATTCCTTTTTATAGGCTTCCTCAGACAGAATAGCCGTAGAAAGACTTCAAGCTATTAGGCCCTTCGGAAAGCATCGGCCAGAACTTACTAATTAGTCCAGATTTTCTGGAATAGACTGCAAGTTTCTACGGACTTGCCCTACCCATTTGCATGCGCTCAGCAAATCCGGCGTTTTCGCCCTTCCTTATTTGATCATATAGTGGCCTAACGGTCTACTGGCATGCGCCTTTTCTCCATAAGTTCGAATCTAGTCACTACTCCGCTGAATTCGATCGAACTTGGGTTCAGTGTACGCTCTGAAGCTTCCTCTTAAGCCTTCTCTACATTCCTTCCAACCGTTTGAAGCTAGAAACGGAAGCTTTGGCCTGGTCACTCGATGGCGATATCAGCGCAAGTGAGCAGTGTCCTTCGAGTAGTGAATCTACTCTTAGGAGAATTTAGAGAGATACTTTCCGAACACCGCAATTGCCAGTCGATTTTATTGATCGGCATCCGAGAGAATCGATTTTCCAGAGCCTGAAAGGATCAGTGGAATTTTCAGAATATTGTTGTTTAGTCCTTGGATCATATATCGTGCCACTCTGTGCCATCTATCGATTATCGGTCGGGATTCAACGAGTAGCGTCGAGTAATTGTATCGAGTACCAGCCTCCGTTACCGGTCCTCTCGTACTGCGCAATACCGAACTTCGATCGACAATTATGTTGCCGACAGCGACGAACAAACAACAGAAAAAATACGAACGTTTCCATTCTGTCAATCATAAATTGAGCGAAACTAGCCATCGGTAATCTGGTTCCAACCTTGAAGGTCTGAGGACAAACCTCAACCATGACTACTTCCTCTACTGAATGAGCCACGCACCTGAATCCCCAGTGGGATCGCAGTGGAACCTGAACGGCCAATTTACACATCTACACACTCGTAGATTAGCAATGTATTTGCGGAACTCATCCTAGTCGACATCTCTTACGGGCAACAAAGGGATGGGTGGTCCTACGATTCGACCTAACGATTCATAGACGAACCGTTCATGCGGTAGGAGCGCGTCCCGTCACTGGTTCATCCTTCAGGCCTGTTCTAATGTCAATAGTGTTGTGAAGAGAACCTAAGAGGTGGATCCGGACCTGTGAGCATTGGAAAACTCTAGATGGAGTTCGATCCAAGGATACACAGACAAACCGTTCACGCGACAAAGGCGCCTTTCGCCACTGGTTTATCCTCACACGCTTGTTTTCTATGCCGATAGCTGTGAACAGAAACTATTGCTCAGACTGGATCCGAACCTGTGGCACATAGTTTACTGATTAGTAGTGCACCAAGTCATTGAAGAAATCTCGAGGTCAAATTCATGTCAGTAAATGCCTGAAGAAGCCTGATTGTTCATTTTTCAAGTGTTCAAGAGTGTTTACAATGATAAACAGTTCACACTGCAAAAGTTCCAGTCGTTGTTGCCTACGCATAGCCATGAAATGCACCCAATCAGGGAAGCCAGTCTGGCCATCCAGTTGTGATAATTGCGCTTGACTGCCGTATTGCGTAATATGTATGAAAATGAAGCCTCGCGTAAACGCTCATGGGTAGTACGGGAAATACTCCACGGGACTGAAGACTTACTACGGGTATGCGGAGCTTTGATAGCACCCCCTTCCCTCCAGTTCGTGGTTTGGACCCAGGAGAACGGGAGGTAAGTTAGTCCAACAGCACGTTCCATCAATCGAGCCCCAAGCACTGGTCAGAGTTTAGCTGTCTAACTGAGCCATTTAGCCTTCCCAGTTAGTGATGTTTTGACTTGGATTGATATAAAAGCCAGTAATATTCCAACAACTCACACGTTTTTGAGGATGTCGCCCGAGGATGCCTAAAAGTCCCAAAATATGTAGATATTTTTTTAAACATTATCGCTTGATGTGTAGGTTTGATATGAATTTATTCCAAATATATTTCAGGGTTATATGGTGGCGTAGGTGCGGGTGTCGTTCCGCCGCCACTTGGAGTTGGAGCCTACGGGCCACTGGGATCTGCTGGAATAGTGGGTGGTGAGTGGACAGCTTTTGTGCTTTATTGCTTCCCGAAGTCTGCCCGAGATTGGCGCTGCTAATTTAGTGAATAGAAATAAAGGATCAGTATCTGAATCATGCCGTCTTGGGGAAGGGAAAGGTGGTAGAGTAGGGCTTCGTTAGGATGACTTCTACACTTCACACTCCACACAAAGAACCTGATGAGTAGCCCCATTCACGTCAGCTGCTTTCTTTCTTTTCTTACAGTGCGGTTCAATTGGAATGTCTTTTGTATTTCCCCCAAACATGCATGTCATGATTTCAATTTCAAAGAAATGGGATATGGGGAGCAAATGGGAAGGATGTAGGGAAGGAGAAAATATCCCTGGAAAGAACACCTATTTCCGACCACTTCCAAGTTCTCGTTTCTGGCAGGTAACGAATCCAAGACTCTAAGTGTTCTCTAGGTGATTCAGTTCGAGCAGACGAAACCCATAATCAACGAAAATGAGCTTCATCAAGTAAAAATGTACCTGGTACAGTAGCTGGTATCCGTTCAGGAACACAACCATGCAGCTTGATGCAACAATGTTTCAACGGTCAGATTTGTGTGAACGGATTCTGCAGTCGAAGTAATGTCGCCTATAAGGGTAGCCAAACGGTACCCGCTGAAACAAGTAAGTGAGCATCTTGGACTTCCAATCATTTCGGACTTAATGACACGATTTTCAGCCTGCCTTACGGGTGCCATCTGCCCAATCGGTCAATATTGTATAGGTGGTGTATGCGTTCAGAATGCTATGTCAACGACTTTTGGTAAGTATTTCCACGTTATGGACGAATTTTCCTGAACTAAAAGAAACTATGCCACAAACTGTATGAACTAGGAAATCTTCAACGAATAAGACTTTGATTACTCGGTTTTTTATGCCTGTCTTTGATCAATCCCAACCAAGCTGCCTAGCTGGCAGGATCACATGTTGGGAGGGTGGCCTCCTTCGCCCACACTACTAGTACGTAGAAACCCATTCAGGCCAACTTGACTTGCACGGGAAATCCCATTCAGGCCAACTTGGTCTCTCCGTGGATCGATAATCTGGTACCATCCGTGTGGGCAAGGAATATGTGGATTTGGGCCAAAGTTGGTGACCTCGAGCCAAGGGTAGGAAAGGGACATTTCTAGAGACTACTTCACCTCTGATCGAAAATCGCAACCACAAAAAATCTCATCCATTTCAGAGTATCAAAAGGAGAACTATTAGCAAAAATTTTTTGCTGCTTATTCACCTATCAACGACTTTTTGGACCTATTCTTCTGAAATTTATTTTTTTCAGCTTGTCAGAACGGCATCGCTTGTCCACCGGGAATGAATTGCTATCTGGGACGATGTATAGCTAATGGACTACCGATGGGTCCAATGCCACCCGCTTTGCCTCCTGTAGGAAAATAGTATTTGTTTGCTAAACTAACTTGCTCCTGTTGCATTCGTATTTGTACTTTTTTAATGTATCTATTTTATGTAAATATCTGGAAATTGAAAAAAGACGAAAAAATAAAAAGACTGCCTGAAGCTCTGATTATTGAAGTAAGTAAAGACATTGTTGCCCATAACGCTCACTGGTAAAGGCATCACTACCTTTTCCGCAGTTTCTAGGCCTCACATAGATCATTTCGAATCTTTTCTTTCTTACCCTCAAGGAATAAGCGGAATGAGAAGGAGTGAAGTAAGGGGAAGAGGAGAGCGAACCACTGACCTGATGCTCGACTGCTTTCCCAAATGGGTGTAGGTACTGAATACCAGAATACCAGCCGCAGAATGTATGGGTGGCAACATGTGTGCAGTGTTCTGACGTGAATGCCTCCCGCTTCGCGTTTGATCAATCAATAATGATCCATCTTGGTGGTGATCAAGAACAGCTCGATTCCTGTTATTCGAGAAGCTGGCCTTGATCAGGCCAGAGGTAATACATGCAGTTGGACTTGCTGTTGTGCTTTCAAGCCGACGTCAGCGGTATCAGCCACTACGGACCCATAAATGAAGTTGGAAGTGCCGTAAGAAGGATCATCACTAGCAACGATTACGCCAAGAGAGAACCAACCATTTGCCTCTTGATCGATCGATCGCAAAAATTCAGTTGAAAATAGCACTCTCCCTTCACAGGAACAAACGAGACTCGAACATAATGTAGGTAGTCTACGGAGTCGCCTATTTTCTGCTCATTTAGACTCTATTTGCACCTGCAGGAAAAGAGGAGTGAGCTGCTCGACTTCTTATCATCGCTGAAAATACCTCCCAAAATTTCTACCCTTTCGAAGTTCTTTCAAATCATTTACTTATTAGATGAGTAAGTGTGATATAAAAGGTGTCTAGGTGGTCAACTTCGAACTGAGGGTATGAACGCAAAAATATTGTTCATGGCTTTAGTGGGATTTGATCTTGGCATTACCCCTACGTGCTTATATTTTTTTGTCGGTTTATTGTTGTCAAGTAGAGGACCAGACTGAGTAGAACAGACACAGACGTTTGATTGAGAATAGATATTACAGCTTCAACGGTCCTCTCTGCTATCTTCCCAGTGAAAGGACGATTTTATGAGATATCCAGAAGTTCGTCTCATTTTGAACAGTTGAGTACCATAATACAAGATTCTGTACTTTCCCATGCCAATCAAACCCTTCACAGTAGACAGGGAGATCAGAAGTGCCAATCTGGATGACAGCGCGTTTCGCTGGTCAATGTATGAGCCATGCCCGCATTGAAACGCAGCTACGAACTTGGATGGGATTCGAGTGCAAGGGCGCATCCCAGAAAGTGTTGAATGGGTTCTGAAACTTCATCTTTTTTGTGCCAAATGCAGTATGTAGTTTTGAGTTTACTGCCATTCTGAATTAGTAATTAAGTTATTGGTTACCATTGGGTAAACAATCCGAATTACCCTGGCGGAATCGAATCGAAAGTCAGAAAGAACGAGGCAGAAGTTCTAGCCTCTGCTCCAGTTCAGGAAATATGAATAGGCACTATGTGAATGGATATTCAGGGAAATTCAATTCCACGAAAGACTTCAACGATCGACTGGGAGGCATTCACAAAGCTTTCACCAAGTACCAGTGCGTTTTTTTTCGATGGCGTCACGTCGAAATGGCTGTGGCGCGCCAAGTAATCGAAAGGCGAAGCCGTCCAGTGTGGCTTCCATGACGCCCCCCATCCATGCGCTCGATATGTGCGGTCCATTGCCGTCGTCGTCACCATCGTTGTAGTTGTTGCTCGTTTAACAAGTTCGTCGTCCTCGCCGTCGTCATAGCCCATTTGGCATTCATCCCGTTCTCATCCGAATCCCCCTCATCGTGGAACTCGGCGACCCTACGACGGCAATGCTTCTACTGCTATTACCTACTACATTATCTTTACTTCTCTTACGATCAACATTGGGTCATTTGGGTCATGAAAGAAATTCCCATTCTACCACTAAAAGAGCTCCAGTAACGACAGATACGTCCCCCACCCCATCAAATGCTCAAGAAAACCGTTCAATTTATGATTCTGATAACGATGGCTATACGGGTTCGAGTGCCAACACAAGTGATTTATTAAAAGAGCGTACTTCTAATGATCAACTAGTATATTCCCTATTGTCTAATCAGTCACAAGTCTCTCCTCGACCAAATAGTCGGAAAAGATCGACAACCACATCGCTGACAACTCAAAACACTCGCTTATCCAGGTAAACTCGTCCTATCCTTTGTTGGACTTGAGACGTCGGACGAAATTGGATGATTGCAGATTTGGAACCGAATTTTCTAGTGGTGGTCTGCCACCGGAGATACATCAGGAAGTCCACTTGAACGAACGTCGTCTTTACCATGCTCTCCAAACAAGTACATTTTGAGATTTTACTTCGATATTTAACTTTCCAACATTCTTCGTCTTCCTGAGTCTGATTTGCTTATTGAAGGGCATGAAAAGGAAGGGCCCCTTCAAAAACATGATTCGGGTCATCGGTTCATTTTGCTTAGATCAGGCCGAGAGTGCATCGGATGGTTAGCTCCGAAAATCTCCTCAGGAAAAGGAATGAATGAAATCATGAACTTTGGGCTGCCACATTGAAACAAGCCCTTATGTGACTCTTGAAATACTTAGGTAGCCTGACGTTTTTCCATTTTGCATTTGCTATGGCCCATGTACCCAGGATAACCATAGATAGACGTAAGTAGGNCAAAAGTCATTCGAATTGACTAAGGTAAGCAGAAATCCATTCCGCATTGCCCCAAATGACTAAGAATTACAAAAAAGTTCATCTGGAATCCAATTAGTGACTGTTCTCAGAAGCCATCATGCCGGTATTTCAAAAATGTTGCCTTTTGTTTCTTGGAATTGGGCTAACCCACTGAAAACAAAAGGGGTGTTGGGTAGGATAAGTAAAACTTAAGTAGTAAGTAAAACTTCTTGCTTCTACTTTACGTTGTTTACATTAGATTTCAATTATGAACGTAATGACTTCTTACTTTTCTGCTGACCTACTTGCAACCTATGGTATCTTTGGATGACGACGTTTGAAATAATTAGATTAAAAAACCATTTTTCCCAAGTACTATCCTGAATCATATATACCAGACATACTTATGAGACCAAAGTGTTGCTGATTATGCGCTTAAAATTCAACTTAACTCCAAAATAGGGCTACTGCCATAAGACTATTTAGTGATTCACCTCCTACGTATGTAGTAAGTTATTGTATTCAAACAACTAAATAAATAAAACTTAGAAATAAACAGATATGTACTTAAAAACACTTTTCTTTTCCAAATTTTACGGTTTCCTCAATAATTCTTTCGGAAAACCTAACCAGGGTTTCCTGAAATTCCGGACAGTTTCAAATGCCTTCGATTTTTTTTTAGAACATTTTGCGGACGGTACTGAAGAACGTCTGTATCGGACACTGTTGTCAGAAGAACGTTACGAGAAGGACGTACGACCTACGGGTCATCATTCACAGCCTACGAATGTTACCTTTGGATTTCTACTGAATCAGATAGTAGAAATGGTAATTTTCATGTGCCTTTTTCCTTCAGGAGTTGTATGACTGACACTATCCTTTCGGGGAAAGGAAGAACATCAGGGACGTCAAGTACAGCCGAGCCGAGTAAAATGAGTTTACCAGTCGACTTACTAGAAACTTCTCTCCAAGAGCGAACCTCTCATCATCACCCTTGACGAGAAGGGTAGTGAGGGGATTGTGACGGTATATACAGGCGCTCCGATAAACAATCTCCGGAATCCATCAACTAGCCGCCTGGTCCTACTTCTTCTCATTTCCTATGATGTGATATTAATCATAAAAATTAAACAAGTCCCTCTGTCGAGTCCGACCGTTTCACGATATAAGCTCACCCCTAGTCCAAATCGCTCACCCCACAAAAACCATGGCATAGGTCGAGTGTGTTTTTAGCATTCACGATAGAGGCAAATGCATGGCGCGTCCGGAGCGTTTTGAACAATGCTGCTCCTTCTTTTTGCAACTTCCGGAGAAATGTCACATAGTACAAGCTCTTTAAGTGAGAACTTTTCTGTCAAAGTGCATCCTCATTTCGGGATTCTCAATTGGCTCTCACGGTCCTAATGACTCAATTGTTCGTACAGCGCTCCATTTAGTTGAAAACATTTTCGTAAAATGCAAAGGCAATGTTTTTTTGGTAAAAATTTGGAGGGCCAAAAGCTTCAATCAAACACCTCAATAGTTTAGGAATTTAACAGAGGTCAAATACTCCGAATCGCCTCAAAACCTACCCTTGAATTCATTTCGTTTTGATTTTCTTGAAAAATATCATCGAAAAGCCGAGGGCAAGTGGGACATTAGTGTTGAAAGGGGGTAAAGAACTCGATGCTCGGGGAAACAAAGTGATGGCTCCTGTCTGTGGTCGAGCCCATAATTCACCAACTTTTTGAGACTTGAATTGGTCTTTTGCATGGCCGCCAGCCGTAGCAAAAGTGTTTGAATCCCGAAAAGACACGAAAAACTACGGTCCAAATTTATGTAAATTGAGGAGCACATAAACGACTTCTGATGCAGTATGGGCTTGATCCCCATGGTCCATTTGAATGACATTTGGAACTTCCAGCTTCATGTGTCATCTAAAAGACCATGGGATCGAGCCCAGACTGGACCAAAAAATGTTTGCGTCAGATTTGCAAATGCAAAACATATTTCAGAGCCTAACGGAAAGTACAAAATCTAAGTAGAGTGTGTCACGCAATGGCTCCCAGTAGGATTGAGCAGGAGAGTGCAGTTCCGGTCTCTCACAAATCATCTACCCCCTTTCTCCTCTTACTAACTCTCTGAACTCTTCTTCGTGGCAAGTTATTCGGGCATGAAAAAGGGAGAGAGGAGGGAGGGCAAGAATGTTCCATAATGAAATTTGCGCACTGATTGTTATGCATTAGATCCATCTTTTTTACCTTGCAAAAAAAAACCCGAGCTCCCACGTGCCTCGGGTTTCAGTACTGAGCTTACGCTTCACCCCAGGAGCAAGTCCGGAAAACTTACTACGGGGGTGGAAAGGGAGAGGTTCCCTCATCCCCTTAGTAACTTTGTTTGAATGTGGAAACAAAACTGGAAAGTTAGAATAGCTGATTTTTTGGTTATGCTTCCACTTGGCTTCTGACAGGCCCTCTGGGGACTGTTTCAAGACATAACCCAATGCTTGACCGCGTTTGTTTAGGACGAACGGAATCAAGTGTTGACGACAAGGAGTTGGCTGAACATCAACTGGATGGACAAGCGCTTGACATGGAATTATACTGAATGGGGAGGCATCAAAACAATCTACATTCCCTATCGACGGCTATGGAAGCCTGATATAATTCTGGTGAACAAGTGAGTTGCGTCAAGTAAATAGTTGGGGTGATCCATACTGACCAGTCTCGTTTTCGTGTAGGCCACGCACCTAAACTACATACATGATGTGCCATGGCGACATCCGTGACACGACATCTTTACGACAATGAGTCCCTGAAGGATGGGAAGGGAACATTATCTTGGTTGGGGAAGATTCAACTTGAAAAAAGCGTTGTCCTTGTGAATTCCTTACCCAGCCATTTTTGGCTGACTTTTTCCAGCCAAATCCAGTAGTTTCGCCCCGGAAAAAGTTGGATCGATTTACTTTCACTAGTTTTTCCTTTTTTCTTTTGATTTCTACATTTTTCTTGAAATTTTTACTTCCTAATTGACTTTATCTCTAAATTCGGGCCGTATTATACCTCAGCTTACGTAGATGCTGCAAGAATCTTTTCCCTCGGATTCCTAACAACGACTATTGGCTTCTGAATCGATTTATGCAAACACCCAGCCAAACATGGACCTCGATCGCTGATTAGTTCTTGGTGCATCTTGAATTTATGCCCGAATATTGAATTACTCATGGTGGCTGAGATGACCAATTGATTAAATTTCTCCTAGAAAAAATCTCCTGTCAAACAAGGAAGTAGACAACAAGAAGAATAGGGGGACGATGGTGAAAACCGTCGCCATGATGTTCACAGTGGCTGCTTTCATAGTCCGCCGTCCGGCGGACTATGAAAGCAGCCAGTCCGCGGTTGGAACTCTGTTTAGACTAATAAATTCCTAACGACTTGTGAGTCCCCTAAATCTGGCATGAATTTGGAAAACACTGACTGAGCTGGTTGAGCTATGCGTCCAACGATTATTAATCCAAGCCACGAACGTTACCTAGAAGATCTCCCCAGGTGGTGTGGGATTGTTCATAGCTTGCTTGAATGATCGTTGGACTAGCAGGTCTATTAGGTCTACCCACACTGTTCGGTCTTCACTATAATATCAAGACCTCTCAGACCTTCTAGGGAATGAAGCATTCCATCACGTGTTTGCGTGAGTGGGATCCGTGCGTCTGCATGAGCCGAAATTATTCATGACCACTTGCGATCATAGCATCAACAAGCAGGAACACAAATAACAAGTAATGAGGGTAATGCTGACAGCTTAGTGGAAATGGTGGGGACCAGGACAGATTTAGGAGAGCAAGTTCCAAAACGGTGGGTCCAAGAGAAAGAGTAACGAAATCTTTATAAAGTGCAGATCCGATGCACTGATCCGACGAATCTAGAACTCGGTAGTGCTGAAATTCGTGAGACTGAAACCAGTAACAACAGATTTCATGATTCCTCGACCCTCAGCATTTCCTATGATATTGTGGAACAGCTTCAGAGAAAAGAAACTAAAATCGAGGGGCCCGATGAGAGGTGGGACTCAATGGGAGGCCAGTGAGGTTCCAACTTCTGACTTTTCTGCCACTGTTCAGGGATGGAGGCTCATTTGAGTTTGTTCAATGAGACTTTTGATTAATACATCTCTAATGAGCGACTGCCACTGAACTTCCAGTGCCATTCGGGAATACCACGCTTCGCTGGTTTCAACGGATATCATGGTGACGTCTAATGGCAACGTCACGTGGCTGTTTTCAGCTCTTTTCCGTAGCTCCTGCCCAATTCGTGTTCGCTACTATCCATTCGATGATCAAGTAAGTTCTTAGGCCTCTCCCTTTCTTAGCTCTAAATTGTTCCTCGTTTTTTGGCTTCTTTAGTTAAAAAATCTCAGGCAATCGGTATGAATGGCTTCATATATTCGCATGAAGTAGCCAAAGTTGTTCAGAACATATCCTGCTGGAAAAGTCGGCCCCTGAGTCTCCCCTATTTAAGGTTTTCTGAAACTTTTTGGCTCGNATATTAGGCCCTCAGAATTGCCTTACAAAACTCTGACGTTCTCTATCCCACCAGTAATTTAGATAATCTAAACCGAGTTTCGAACTCGGCTTCATGCGCATGGCGGAGGCCCGAAGGCTGATATGCGCCCCAAAAACTTTCAAGCACAAACATAATGGAAATACTGCTGATTACAGGAATGCGACTTAAAATTCGCCTCGTGGTCCCATGATGCTTCAGAGATCGATCTCGGACTCAACACAGACAAAGGCGACTTGAGCAGCTATATGAACAACAGCGAATTCGATCTTTTGGACATGATTGCTATTAAGGAGGTTCAAAATCAATAAAAATCCTCAATAAAGAACAACCAATATAAAATGTGATTTTCAGGTTGTGAGCTTCCCATCTAATCCATTGTCAAAATGGCCAACAATTGTTGTACGGATAAAAATGCATCGCCGACCACTCTTCTACATTTTTAATCATGTAAATTTTATGAGACACTATTTCGCTTTTCTCATCCATCACATTTTACCTAAAAGATCTATTCCAACATACCTGATTTGGAGCCCATCAATTCCGTTCGTCGGCGGTGGGACTCAGAACTGGCTTCAGATCGAGGGCAGATCATCCATAGCTGTTGGACAGACCAAATACACACTTGGAGGTCACTGTAAATGATATAAGAAATCAAGTGCGTGGCGCACACCACAAAATGACTGCTCAAGGGCAGCGCCTTCAACCCTTGATTTTCAGGAGAAACCCAGCATATAACCGTATTGATAATACTAGCACTTCAAGAGTCGGGAGCAGAAACAGGGCTTAGGCTGATACAAATCCCTTTTCCGGTTATTTTTAATAGAACTTTTACTTCCGTTGGAAGTCGATCTATTTCACGGGCAATTTCAAAGAGGTATGGAGGCCACTCTTCCGGGTTTCTTAATTTTGTTCTGCTAGGGCTCAGCAAATTATTGCTTTGTTATGGCGAGCGAACTTACCTCCTGTCAGACACCCAGAGAGGGTGTCACCAATTCGTCTTATCTGGAAGAGTTTACATTCTTGCTTGGAAGGGAAACGCAGATAACCCTCTTAGCCTCACCTGCCAACCATTCACTTATTCCCACCGAACGAACCCCACTTGATAGGATTTTAAGGATCCGACTCTAAGAACTCCAAGGATTTCTGGGGAGGGTGCAAAGTAGTCATCCTGTCGACGATCGATATCGCCTCTTCTTTCTCCGGATGGGTGCTATTTCACTGAAAAGGGTTTTTTTTATATGGCAATATTTCTCTGGAAGGGCGTCTCTTTTAGAGGCTCCTTTTTTATGAAAAAGAGTCTCTTTTATATGGCACTTTGGCTGCTGCTGCTTGCTCCCATAAAAAAACATTGCTCCCATAATATATAGTCACATCAGGATTACTCTCAAAAAACCCGATGTAGAAAGCCAACAAAGAGCTCCCAGTATCTTCCAGTCTATTGAATAATCTATGAAGCCCGTATTCTGAGCAAACCCGTTGTCGTTAGGAGCCCGTAAACTTTGTTCATGACACAATAGACTGGAGAAAAACAAGTTCCGAAGACCGGTAACGAAGTTATGTCTGATTGGCTTGAGGCCAGGGATAAACAGGCCCAAAAATTCTTCTATGAGGTCTATACTAGCTAAGTTTCAGAAACGAAGAAGGTGAAAAAAGGGCCCTCATCAAGAACACCAACAGAGCAACCGCTTCGTTGCATCTTCCCATGGCAGAGACCCCAGTTCAACGCCCGTCAGTGCCAATTCTATGTAATTCTAGTGTATTTCAGATAATTCCATGTGTTCTTATCTCATCCATGGCCGTTCTGGGATTCCTGATGCCACCGGAAACTGGCGAAAAAATCAATATGATAATCACAACATTACTCAGTATGGGTGTATATCTGCAATCAATTACGGAATCAATTCCTCCTACATCAGAAGCTGTGCCACTAATTGGTGAGGATGTATGGACTAGGAAAGTTCCCAGGAAGGTTGCTCCAATGCTTTTTCGCTATTAAGGGATGTACTACGTATCGTCTTTGTTTATGGTCTGCTTAGCTACTTGTGTAAATGTAATTACTCTGAATATGCACCGAAATGGAGCCGCTAATCAGGGCAGGTGAGTCGAAATTTCCTTAAAAATGCTTCTTCCCCCACTTTCCTTCGCCCCATTAGGTCACAAGCGCTTTTTTTACTTTTTTATTCTTCAGTTTTCTACATTTCTGTTCTGACCACGAATATTTACACAGTCTCAACACAGCGGAATGTTTGTGGTGGGGTTGCTGGAAATAATGGATTGGGAGGGAAATTCGCCCAACGAAATCTGCATTTTGGAACAACCCTCAGATAAGAAGTGAGGTGACATCGTGAATGGCGTTACCTCGAAAAGGAACCAGGGGTGAAACCCCAGATCGAACCCGCCTCGATTAGCCAAACATTCCATCCTTTCGGAACTGGTACTTCAGTATCAAAAGTTAAATTCACAATTCACGCAATCTTTTGATCCATTTCAAATAATTGCATAGTCAAAACTGCCTATCGACGATTTTCTATTATGTATTTGTATCGTTGTACTTGTGAATTGTTATATCCATATCAACCCTAATCCATTATTATAATTTTTTGTTACCAACTACAAATGCGGCCCCCGCTCTCCTTTATTCCTTCCAGTTCTGAACATTTTAGAATGCCATTTGAAGGGGTTACAATTCCTTATTCGAACGATAAAAGTGACGAATTGTAGTCATAATTCAGATAGACCATGCGGGATAGAACCTTCATAGCGGGAAGGCCATGTCGTCTTTTTTCAGGGAGCTCCCTTTGTAGCGAATTCAGCAGAAAGCCAAGTAGAATTCGGAAAAAATTCCATCTGATTTACTACAAGCCCATATTTTGACAAATCCCATTTGGAGTTGGAACGAAGGGATAATAGCGAGGGTCAATGCAACGACTAGCCCGGAAATCATTCCATACATATACCATTCATGCATAAATGTCTTTAGAACTTCAAAAAGCTCGTTCGCTCGGGCTTTTTTGCCGTAAACGGGATTGATCAACACCCAGAAGCTTTTTCATTCGATGAACTATACATAACTTTACATCTCCATCAAATATGCTGCTTGCAGATATTGCATTGATCATTTCCAAGAACAGGTTATGGCATTCTGCACGGCTTTACCCGAAACAAGCTATGGCGCTAGAAAACTCATATTTTTAGTCTGCTCACTGAGACAGGGTCTCACACGGAATCTGTCCTCCACTAATGGGATCAATGAGATAAATTGAGCCGTACACCATGATATTAGCCAAAAACTCTCAGTTCTTTGAAGCTGTTATTCTGGTTTTGCAGTCCTAACGGTTGTTACTAGGTTATAAGGACCTATTGCAGGCATGTACCATGTTGGATGGAGAAATGGGTGCTTGGCTATTTGGCTTCGCTAATGCGAATGTCTATACGTGAACCGGATAGTATATCATTGTTGAAAATAGCACAGGTTTGCAACTTTCACAACTTCATCTATCGACTTCTTTAATTCGAATTTTGCGATGTATCGACCTGGAAGAGGACTAAATTCTTTGAGCCTAATTTCCTGGGAACTAGAAACAAAAAGGGCGAAGAATCGACAACGATATGACTTTCCCTATCTGGAGACTCTAGTCCAGAGCACCTAACCCTGAACCTGAAACCTCCGAATTTTGAAGGAATAAGCCGTGGATGAGAAGGAGTGTGTGGATACTCGCAATTAGTAGCAAAAAGTGTTAATGACCGATAAAGCATGTTTTTTTTAGGATCAAAGGTAATGTAGAATTTTAACGATGCAAACTTGTAGAGCAAAAAGTCGACGATACGGCGGAGTTCGATTATGCGAGATTTGAAACGAATCAAAAATCATGACCACAAACGAGGAGGACTGCAGCAGTCAACCGAATGCGACTGCATCACCCAAGACAATGTAAGTGGCTCCAAAAAGCCTTACAGAGCAGATTTTTCCATTTTTTCTCTGCACTAAAGAAATGTAAAGGGTAGCATGTATCATCTTGGGTGAGGTTCACTCAATCAAGCTTTCTGGATGATCCAAAGACGGTCTTTGAAGGACTTTGAGCAATGTGGTGTAATGGCACAATCACATACGCATTGCCCCATGAACGAATCCAGCATAGAATTACCCAGGCCAACTAGCATTCCATTCATTGAAGTCATTAGTTGGTGTAAGATTCGTTTTGGAGAATAAAAAACACTAATTTGTTATTCAACTAGCCACTGCAAGGCCATATACGCTTTTAAAACGTTGCCAAGATTCTAAAGAAGTAGAGTGTAGGGACACACCTTATGAGGAACCCAATTCATGACAGAAGACTTCATCCTTTTATCGTAGTTGAAGGAGCAGTTGGTTGTGAGATCGATTTTGGGAGTCGCCTAGGAAAGGATGACTGACAATTGAGAATGGAGTAGGAGGCTATGCAAACCTCCCCTAAAATCTTGTCTCAGGATGAACTATTAAGTGTTTTTTTTTCATTTACGAATCCACTAAGTATCCCACTTCTGCCTCGGATCGGAGGATTACCCAAATGCGCATTTCGTTCAGCCAGCAACATACGGACGCCAGCTGTAAGAGCCAGTATCTCTACCTTCCCGGGCACTTCAATTAACTACCGTGCAGGAACAAATGGCTATGAAAGCCTCGATTTCGTAGCTTATGGGCGCAGGACCACGTCCCTTCCCACTATCCTACCCCTCGAAATTAATTTGGAATAATTTTTTTTTGGTCATTGAACTAATTTACTAATAAAGTCTTTTATTAAGCATCTGAGTTACGCGGAAGTAATTCCGCAACTCAGCAGTAATGGTACCAACGGTGGTGCACATTCGTACAAGCAGTTTCAATCAGAAAGCGCTTTTCTTGGGAGGATCGTTGGAGAACAGGTTCATCATATTCCCATATAGTATTACTGTAACATCTATAATCGCTTTTCATTGCAGATTCTTCCACGTATCAGTGTAACCCGATCGGTGATGCTGTCAGAATTCGACCATCGCTTCAGACGGATATTGAAACGAATTTACAGAAGTCTACAACAACATGAAATACGGGAAGAGGTACGTGTTCCTGAACCCAGAAATCAGCTATCCAGGTCAAGTGATGACGATACAGTAATCAGTAATAAGCTATTGCTCTATGCCAGGTATTTAAGCAATATCCAAAATTTATGGAAACGTGAGCTTCACTCTTGGCGACAGGTAAGGAACAAGAACGACGGGGGCATGAAGGCGATCAGGAATCGATCCTCTGGCTTGTCTAATCTTAACGCTAATTCGCACCTTTGGCCATACACATCTATCATTGAATCTAACTGATGAGTCCAAATAGTCGGGCTGTTTGCAGACATTTTGAGGGCTGATTCATTCGCTGGGTCTCCAAAGGCTTCCCTTATCAGCCGTTATCAATTGCTATCATTTTCTAATACCAACCACNAATGATCGCACATTCTTGATTGCGATTTTTCCGTATTCAAACGCTCTAGATTCATTGAAAAACGATCGTTCTGCTGGTTCGACATCCGCACTACTCGACCGATTCATTCACCAGTTTTTAAATGGGAAGTTAAATTTCTAGGGAGCAGAAAGTAAAAATTTTTGCGACAAAACTCGTCGAAATGGGGAGGAAGTGATGAAGAAGTCGGTGTTCTTATGACATCCTGCGTCTTGATAAGATTTTGGTGATAAAAGTAAGCCTCAAAGGCTATACTAGACCTCGATCAGCGATGCGACAGTTTTCTTTGAACAATCATTTTTGTAAAATTACATTTTTATAAACGGAAAATCTCTACCTTGACATTCCCTTGTAGGTTGAGGCCCATTTCAGCATCCTGATTCAAATAGTTTGTAGAAGAAGTCGAACGCATGGCTTATTTGAAGAACTGGTCCTTTCACTCAGTGCCACCTAAAAAGCCCCACTGCAATTCCGAATATATGAAACACGCCTATGATATCATCAGAATAAACGACAGATCTTTCCAGATAATCGATGAACGCCAGCGAATCCAATGGCAATGGCAGCAATTGGCTTCGGTCGTCGATAGGCTTTTACTTGTATTATTTTCATTAGCGACTTTATTTACAATATTTTTCTTTTTATTGTTGCCTGTTGGATTACGAGACGAAGATGAACATTTGAGAACTTATAATTGAGTGCACTTCAAGATTTTACTTTATTGAAGCATACGAGTAGGTATCATTACATAGTTACTGTATATTTGTATATACTAATAAATTTATGCATATTATACGATTTTTCACAGAAAAAGCACCATCTTCACAGTAAACAAGTGGGCGATAGTGCTAAGCAAAGACAGTAGTACTTTGTTGTACGAAAAAATGACACTGAGATATCACAAGAGGTTTTGGTAAAGTGGTAAAATGCCTCAAACTACCTGTAAGGCCCTACAGGGTGGGTATTCATAACAACATGAACTCTAGAACATACTATTCCTAAGAGGTATTGGAAATTAGTGGTACACACGTAACGAGGCTGATAGGTCCCTTACGAGATTTGTAAAAAATTATTACACTCATTATAGAATAAAGTTTTGAAAGGTCGGCAAAAATCATATGTTGACCGATTGCTGTGCATAGCTACTACCCTTCTATTGGGTTGCAACATAAGTTCGTAGAGTTTTGCGTTAGAGTT